CGGGACTGGGAGGTGCCGGTGCGGGGCTGCCAGTCCTCAGCGTCCTCCATCAGCCGCAGCTTGCCCGGGTCACACGTGGGGGTGCCAGGGGGGTGCATGGACTGCCTGTGAGCAACAGGGGCAGGCGCTCAGCTGGCACCATGGACCTGGTCCTGTCCAGCTGCCAGCACGGGGCAGAACCCACATGAACCCCTGTAACGGCCCAGCACTCACCACTCCTCCTCTGTACCCCAAAATGACACACGGGGACCCCTGTGGCGGCGAGAAAATGGCGACGCAAGGGTGAATCGCCAGCACACAGTATGGAGCATCTCCCATGGCTTATCTCCAGCCCCATAGTGATGCAGCAGCATTCATACCAGTCCAGCTCCCCTCCAGCCCCACACCACAGTCACAGCACCTTGTACCCGAGGCCCAAATAAAGCCCAGTACCTCCCAACAGCAGTAGTCAGGCCACACCAGTGCCAGCAGGCCCCATCAACCCGCTGCGTCTGCAGCTTGGCTTCCCCAGTGCCAGCAGTGCCCAGGGTCCAGCAGGGGATGCCCAGTCTGGGGACAGCAGCAGCACAGTGCCCAGGCAGGACCCTCGTAACAGGACGGACACAGCTGTGGCCCAGTGCTGGCGGTGCCCATCACAGAGGCGAGAGCAGTGCAGGTGCTGCATCTCCATGAATACCTCAGCTCTAGAGAGAGTGAAAGGACAGAGAGGGACAGGGAGCAGGAGGTGACAGGACAGGATAGCAGAGGACAGGAGCTGCACTCGCCACCAGCCATGAGTGTGAGGCCAACGGGGTGGTTGAGCCCCACTGCTGCAGCACCATAGCCAGGAGCCGTGGTACACCCTGTGCCGCCCCTTACCTGGGCTTCCTAACCAGCTCGTCCTCGTGGTCCTCAACTGAGTGCAGCAGGGAGAAAGGAGGAGACAGAGTCAGTCGGCGGCAGCACGGCCCCACACAGTGCGAAGGGATGAGAACTGGGCACCCCTCCCTGCTTCCCCCATACCAGCGCCCCAGACACCGCTGTATGCCCCCATATGGCCCATGCCACACACAGGGCCACTGCAGTCAGAGCGCCACCACCTCACCCCGCAGCCAGGTTGACTCCAGGAACCCGCAGGCAGCCCCAGACCCGCAGGGACTTACAGCTGTCTGTGCCCGTCAGCTGGGCCAGTTTGAGGAAGGAACGGGACTGGGTGCTGGTGTTGCGGGGCTGCCAGTCCTCCGAATCCTCGATCAGATGCAACTTGCTGGGGTCATATTTGGGGGAACTGGGGTGCTCCTGTGGTTTCCTATGAGCAACAGGGGCAGGTGCTCAGCCAGCACTGTCCTGCCCCTGCCTGGTGGCACAGGGACCGGCACACACCACTGCCCCACAGACCCACGGGGATCCCCACAGCATCCCCCCTGGGGCCATCCCACATCTCTTCAAGCTCACAGCAGTAGCACGACAGCACACATTTGACACATCATACATTGTCCTCCTCCCCACCCCACACCATCAGCAAAGGAAGGGGCCACTAAGGATGTCTTCTCAGGACAGATTTCCCATCTCTGCAGTTTGAGCCCAGCCCTAAAGGCCAGGAGGAGAGAGAATGGGGCAAGGATAAGCCAAGATCCAACTCACACGCAAGTGAACTGCATGGTGCTCGATAAGCACCAGTGATGCTGAAAGAAGGGTGCATAGCACAGCCTTTCTTGTGCTGGAGAAGGAACTGGTGTAAGGACACCCTGACACCCTTGCAGTCAGCAGCACTTGCATTTCAGGCTAAGGACAGCTTGCAGCCAGGAGCTGTCAGCCTGGGGACGCTGAGCCCCTGGGCTAATTAACCCTGCCCAGAGAACAGGGCACCAGTGGGCCACTAACAGGGCAAGAGGCATGCAGGAAGGCTAGAGAGAGCAGGCAAAAGGCTTACTGACTTGTCAAGGCTCTGCACCTGTAGGAGAGAGGGAAAGAGAGAGGGAGAAAAGAAAGAAAGAGAAGGAAAGTGAAATTAGACCCACAGAACCCAAGAAGTTTCCAGAGCTCACCTACAGCCTGCACCACTTTCCCTGCCCCTGCGACACGTGCCCATCTCACCCATGGCTGAGAGCGCAATGGGCTGCAGGGGCAACAGATCTGATCATGCCATCCTCAGCCCCACTCCGCACCCACCGGGTGCAGAGAACAGCCAGGGCCATGTGCCCCACTGACCAGCTCCAGGGTCCTGTGGGCAGGAGCGGCAGCAGGGCGGGCACACAGCAGCAGAGTACACAATGTGCAGACTGGAGCATCCATACAGGGCTCAGGGCTGGCATGGGCAGCACTGTGCAGGGCTCTATGGCTTCCCTTCGTCCTGCACGTCCCGGAAACATTGTGTCGTGGCCCTGGGCTGGTGCTGCTGATTGCAACCGCAGCCTTCCTGCCCCTTGTCGCAGGGCTGGCAGAGACAGCAGTGAGCATCCTGCGCCAGCTGCTGTGCCATGCCCTCCAGCGCTTTCCAAAGGCCAGTGCAGGAGGACACAGCCCCGAGCAAGGAAGAGGCATGTGTGTGTGTCCCCACGTGTGACAGTCCTGTTGCTCAGTCTCAGCACCTCAGCACGGGAACCACTGCCCACTCCCACCCACAGGTGCCTGGCATGCAAGGTGCAGCAGGGCCAGGCAGCGGGCTCCCTGGTATTCTTGGAGAGCAGGATGGACAGCAACATACCCATTGTGCTGGGGGGTGCAGGCGGGCGCCAGGGGCACGTACGTCACGGGTTTCGTCACCAGCCCGGGCCGTGGGTTCGGAGGCGAGCCGGCCCCGAAGGGCCGAGCTGTTTTGTTGAGGGCGGTGCTGGGAGCGAAGTTATATTTCAGGGGCTCAGAGCAGGGGAGTGAGTCCTGAGCGAGACAAAACACACAGACAAGGGCTCACACGTCAAGCAGCATGCAAGGGGCAGCCCTGGGCCAGGCAGCGCAGCAGGCAGCCAGGTGGGAATGCTGGACCCATTCTTGCCCGCAGAGCCTCGCAGTGACACATGGGCATTGACAGCACGTGCGGCTCTGCCAGCCAGGTCCCCTCTCTGCGGGGCATCCCGCCCAGGGACACCAGGCTGCAAACTCAGCCTGAGGATTAGTAAGTGCCCCGTGGTGGGGCTCTGCATGCACTCACACTGCTCGCAACCATCCCAAGGTACAAAGCAGAAAGCATGCAAGTGGCTTCTGCCTAGGAGCCACTGGCCCCAGCCCTGCCTCCCCATGCAAGAGCGAGCTCCAGCACTAGCGAACATGGGGCCTGAAGGCTGTGCTGCAGCTGCTGTACATGCGGGGAATTTGCAAGCCTTCCAAACACATCCTGGTCCCCAAGAAGCCCTTGGGCCCCAGGAGCAAAGTCCGCTCCTCTGATTAAGCTCAGAGACTTCCCCACCCCCAGCCCACGGCTGAGCAGCTGCCAGCAGTGCTGGAGCAACACCTACCTTCTGTGGCTTCCCCAGGTGGTTCTGGGCTCTGCAAGAGAGGACACAGTGAGGCAGATCTGCACGTGCCCAGCATCCATCATGGCTGGCATGCTGACATTGAGGAACTGTAGCCAGGTAGCACTAACCCACGGTCTGAGGTGACGGCTTAAAGCCGGGATTGCCGCAGATGGGATGAGCCCCATCCAGCCGTGCAGAGCCCTCAGATCCAGCCAGGGCTGCGGGAGATGAGTGATGCTGCCTCATTGCAGCAGGGCCATTGGGCTCGGGGAGGCGACGGGTACAGGGCCACAGCTTTGTTCCAGCTGCACCAGCACCGTAAGTTCTCAGGATCCACACATCCTACCTGCTCAGAGTGAGGCAGAGCCTGTCCCCGCAGGCGCGGATCCTGTTCTGGGCCTCGATGTGCGTCATGGCGCTGGTGCTCTCCCCATCAATGTACAGCACCCAGTCGCCCACTCCCACACCGGCCTGGGCAGCCTTTCCACCTGGAGTCAGCTGCAGAACAGAGAGTGTCAGGGAAATCAGCAGTAAATGGAGTGATGCTCTTGTGCCCAGAGCCACAAAGAGGGACACTGAGCACACCCTGAACAGCTCCTAACCCCGCTACCGGGCAGCTCCCACAGCACAGTGCCACTGCAGCCCGAACACACTGGGCCTGATGCAAGAACCCCCAGAGCTCCCTGTGTTCCCCAGTTTGTTATCCCAGAGAGCCTCTCTTCCTTGTAGCAGCTAAGCCCTGCCCCAGGCACCACACTGCAGCACAGCACTGCTGGGAGATGTGCCAGCACCACCCCTACAGGTGGCCCGGGGACAGCCCAGGCGTTCTGAGGCGATGCCAAGCAGCAGAGGCTGTGCTGGCTCAGCTGCAGCAGGAGGTCATGGAGCCGGCCCCAAGGTCCCGGGGCAGGAAGTGAGCAGGGTGAGTCAGGGCCTGTCATGCAGCCCACAGCTCACCCCATGGGCTGTAAACCACAGGCATGCTCCCAGCCTTCACAGGGGCGGGGAGAGCCCCCTATATCTTCCAGCTATGTTGTGCTCCTGTCTTGTCTGTTCCCTTCATCCAGCCCAGCAATGGAGCTGGGATATGCCTGGACCACCCCCAGACACCCCTATTTCTGCTAGAGATAAGCAGCACCCTAGCCCCTGCACCACTGAACACAGCTCTCAGGTATTGACAGACAGACACTCAGACAGACAGACGTGGGCAGGCTGCAGCCATTCCTGCTCCTCCAGCACAGAACAACTCGAGGCGTTTGGATTCAGACCAAGTATTTCCTCAAGCCCTGTTCAACATGAACATAAAAGGAGCGAGCCAGATTCCCAGCACTGTCAGAGGGCTGGAAAATCCCTGCCACCGAGCATCATGGCTACGCGCAGAGCCCAGCCCGCCCTGAGCACAGCACCAGGTACCCTGGCTCCACTGCCATTCCCAGAGGGTCACAGCATCCCCTGCAGTACCTCTGGCACTACCTGGCACAGAAGGATGCTGGAGGCAGCAAGCAGCTCTGGCCGGCTCCCGGCCACTCCTGCAAGCCCCAGCTTGCTGCCCCTCAGGCTGGGAAGCAGCATGGGTTTAAGGCAGCAGTAGGAGCTGGGAGAGGTTTTCACATGGCTGCCTGGGCAGGGGGGAGCATGGCAGGCTGCGTCACGCCGCCGCACCCAAGCGCACCAGGAAAGCCCTTCGGCAGGTGCCAGCTCAACAGATTCCAGCCAGGAGCTGCTCCAGCCTTCCCATTTCCTGCACCGTGGGCTGAGGCTCCTGCCCAGCCCCACCAGTCACAGCTTCCTTCCTTGCCTCTCCGCCCAGCTGGGCCTTTGTCCTCACACCTCAGAGTGCCACCTCGGCTGGATACCTCCATCCAGGGCTCCAAGTCAACCAGCAAGGTGGCAGGCAGGCACAAGGGAGCATCCTCCTTGGCACTGGGCAGCCAAGGTGCTGGGACCCTGTTGAGCCTTGCCCTGCCCTGCCAGCAGCATCTCTCCAGGCCCTGCAGCGGGGCTGGCCTGCACACACGTCGCTGCTGCTCCATGAGGCCCCAGCCCCAGGCTCTCGGAGGCTCCACCGCCTGATCAGACCCTTTGTTAAGCCCTGGCTTGCAGCCAAGAGAAACATTTTTTAGAGAATAAACTTGCTGAAGCCGTCTCTGTTCCTTGCAAAGATTGGTCGGCCCCAGGGCAGTGGCATGGGTGACTCCAGCCTTGCACGGTGCCCCTGGGGTGGGTGTTGCAGAGACCCGTGGCCTGGGATGTGCACACAGTGCTGGGGGCAGGCCCCACGCTGTGCCCAGTGCTGTGCTCAGAGCCACAGCCCTGTGCCAGCTGCCCCAGCGTCAGCAGCACGGGCGGTGCAGACACATTCCAAGGCTTATAAGGCAATTCTGCAGCTGGAGCTGCTGCAAGCACCCGTGGTGCAGGCCACCCAAGGACAGGGAGCCACGCAAACCCAAGAGACAGCTTCGACCTGGGTAAGCATCACACGAAAAGCTCCCACCAGGTGCCCCAGATGTAAGCAGCTGGCAGCACATTTTGCACATGCCCCTGCTTCAGAAGCGGGCTGGCTTTACGGATGGGACCTGTCCCAGGACCAGTGGGAGTGCAGTCTCAGGCACAGTGCCTGCACAAAGCTGGCCCCGAGGCACTGAGCTTGGTATCACAGTGCAGACCAGGCCGGTCCCGCAGTTCACGCACAGAGAGCTGCCCCTGCACAGGGCTGGCTCCGGAAGAGGCCCCCCTGCCTCCCGCCGCATCGTGACACTGAGGAGCCTGCACAGCATTTCACATCGCCGCTGCAGCTCCCTGCCCGGAACACCCCCAGCACATATTCCCTCTGGCCAAACCAGAGCTGATAAGGGTCTGGGTGGCTCTAAGGGGGTTGAGCAGAGTGAGAACCAGTGTTCCAAGGCCCAGCTTGCTCACATCCCCCATACAGCTCTGCCTCAGCTGCTTGGACACAGCTGCAGCTTCCCACCCATGGACAGCAGGAGGGTGGGCGATACCAGCTCTCAGTGCCTCTTACCCTGGAGATGGAGAGCGGCATGCTGAAGTCCTTCCCTCCCTGCAGCCGGAAGCCCCAGGGCGCCGGCCCGTTCAGCATCACCTTATAGGACTCCATCTCGCCCATCTCTGCAAAATGGAAGAGGGTGTGATCCTGACATCATGCTGCATGGGAACGACATGGGGAGCAGGCGAGGAGGGGGCCCAGCAGGACTGGGCAGGAGGAGACAGGTCACACTGCGAGCAGGAGCTCCACCCTGACCATCCCACAGCGTGGTTAAGGACGCACCCCACATCCATCAGCATCTCCTAAGGGGCGTTGGAGCCGAGGGGCCAGAGTAATGCACACAGTGAGACTCAACCATCCCAAGCCCAGGACGGGCTCTGCAGCACTGTTACAGAACCTCGAGCTGCTAGGAGCTGTTCCAGGCAGCAGAGAGGCAGCAGCACGGAGGGATGGCAGCCACAGGCGTTTTGCCTGGTGAGCAGCACAGCAGCACACTGCCACCGGAGCCGCCTGGCACAGCAGCTGACTGCAGCAGCAGCAGCAGCTGGTCGAGCAGCTGTACCTGGGTGTGAGCCCATCTCCGCAGGGTTCTGGGCAGGAGGAATGGATGCCCCGTGCTCACACTGACAGCTGTCAGCCGGCCCAGGCACGGGGCACGCGTCTGTACCTCGCCTAAAGGGAACCGCGAGGACCTCCTGAGCCCTACGTGGCAGGCAAAGGCCCGGCTCTGCGACATCTCCCCGTGCCCCGACGGGGCAGAGAAGCTGCGAGGCCGGAGCCCGCGGTGCCCTCGCTCCCCCAGCCCGGCCCGGGCTATATAAGGCGTGTAAGCTGACACCCGCTGCTGGGCGCAGGCTGCGTGTCAGACATTCCCCAGCATGGAGAGGCCGCACAGCCCCGACGGGGCTCCCCGCTCCGAGGGCTGCGGCAGCACCGGGCCGGGGTCTGTTCGAGAGGAGGGGCGAGACAGAAGCCCCCTCCAGCGGAGGCTGTGCCCTCTATCTAAAGATGTGCAGAGCCACGTCCCGTGGGGTCCCCGCGTCCCGCGGAGCGCAGCCACGCCCCGACCCCCGCTCCAGCTTCGCCCCACGGGGGGTCCGGTGCCCCAGCCAGCCCCACCCGCCCCACACAGCCTCCTTTTCCCCTGACCCAAGCAATCGGCTTCCCACCCCCGACCCACTACTCAGCCCCGGTCCCCGCTCCTCCCCACACGCCGCGGTCCCGCCCGCACTCACTCACCCGCGGCGGGGCAGGGCCGCCCGGCGGTGCGGGGCCGAGCTGGTCGCGGCGCAACGGGCGAGCGGAGCAGTCGGCCGGGGGACTCGAACTCGGGCACCGCCCCCTCCCCGACCGGCGCGAGCTTATACAGGAGCGGGGCGGGGCGGAGCCGCCGCTCGGTTACACCAATGACGGAGGGTGTTACGGCGCCCCCTGGCGGCCGGCCGCGGCCCCGGGGTCGGGCGGTGCACGGCCTTTATTCCCGCTCACGGCCAGTCCCGCGCTCCGGGGCCGTCCCGACTCAGCAGCCGCACCAGTTTGGCCCGCAGGGTGCGCTGAGCCTTAGGCCTGGAGTGTTCCTCCGCATCGCCTCTGCTTCCTCCCGGCCCCCAGCGCTGCCTGTGGGTCTGCGGGGCGCTGCGGGCGGGGTAGGGGGCGGCGGCCTCGCTGCTGTGGCCCTCGGGGGCCTGGCGACAGCCCAGCTCCCAGCGCCCTTCCTCCTCCTCCTCCTGCTCTTCCTCCGCCCGAGGCCGAGGCTGGGCCGTGAAGATGTTCTCATAGAGATGCTCGGAGAGCGGCTTGGCCGGGCACGGCCCGAAGTGGGGCTGCTGGCCGCGAGCGATGGAGGCATACAATATAGGGCCAGCAGCCTCCGGCTCCACGGTGGGGAAGCGGAGAAGGTTGGGCGAGGGATGTGAGGCCGAGTGTGAGCCTGGCTGCGGCCGGCCCAGCATTGGGCTGTGCTGGGGGTCTTCAGCCTCCGGCCCCCAGGGTTGGGTACCAAGACCTTGGGCTGCCAGCTGGGGGCTCTCCCGGCCCTGCTGCTGACAGGCGATGGCAGCGGCCACGGCCCGGCACAGCTCTGGGGCTCGAGGGGTGCTGAAGGTGAAGGTGCCCTCACCCGAGTCGCTGCGGCGGCCGGCTTCAAAGGAGAAGATGTTCTGCTGGGACAGAGGGCAGGGTGAGGGGCTGGCACCTGCTACTCCTGCAGGTGGAGGCCCCCGGGGAGGGTGCACCTACCTGATCTTGGCCGAATTTGCGGAGGAACGGGTAGGGCCAGGTGAGCAGGGGCTGCTGGGACTGCGCATCCTTCAGCGTCAAGCTCTGGGGCAGGGCTGCCAGCACGTAGTGCCCATGCAGCTCGCAGCGGGCGGCTGCCTCCGTCCTCAGCACCAGCACTGGGAACTCTGTCACTGTGGGAGCAGAGTGAGGTCAGTCCTGCTGCACACCAAGTAGAAAGCTCTCCCCCCTCCCCCCCCAGCCCCACTGCAGCACGTACGATCCTGCCACGAGGAGTAGAGGCAGTTCTCCTCCATAGGGATGGGCTGCAGCCCGGTGCTGCTACTCTGTGCTGCTTCCTTTTTGACCTGGAACAGAGGGAGGTGAATGCAGCCCCCCCCCGCACCCCCCTTCTTCTTCCCTGAAGCAGCGGGGGGAAGATGCTGGGCGTACCTGAAAGGCCAGCTGGCAGAGCTGCTCGATCCACTCATCCCGATGCTCAGCTGCCAGCACATAGTTCTTCTCTGTGGTGGTGAGGTAGAAGGCGGCAGTGGCTTTGGGGCAGCTCTCAGTGCCCATGGGGCCAACGGAGACACAGTCAGACAGGCGGATGACACGGCGGGCGCAGCGCCACAGGGAGGCATCAGGCACTGTGCCCTCATCCCGTGCATCAAACTTCTCCATGCGGGCCACACCAAAGGGGCTGGCAGCAAAGAGCTGCGCTCGCATCTTCCTCCAGGTCCGCTGGAATGGAGGAAGGGTGTGGATACGGGGAAAAAGTGACAGCAGGGAGCTGTCTGCCACGTCCATGTGGCTTAGGAATGGGCACGCAGGGGTCTCTGCCTATGAGGATGCGCACTGCAACAGGGCACAGAAAGCTGTTCCGATGCTGGACCGCCATGCAAATGAAAGCCATTTTGAGCTGCTGTGCTCCTGCTGGCAGCTCACATCTGCTGCACACAGCCAGGCCCTGCAGCTTGCAGCCTACTTCCTCCCTGGGGAGGCTCTGCAGCACCCGTCCCTTCCCAGCCCATCACGAGATGGAGGGGCTGCAAGCCCCCACTTACCTCAAGTGCACAGCAGAGCCTCCGCCCTGGAAAACAGATGTGTGGCAGAGCACCCAAAATACCCACCGGCCTCCCACATGGCCGAGCATCAGCCCCATGCACGTGGGGGCTGCGCGCTTCAGCTCTAGGACTTGGCTCTCGCGGAGTCCCGAGGTGGGAGCAGAGCTGTTAGCACACCCTGTGTACCCCACACACACAGTGAGCACAGAGCACTCTGCGCCGTGAGAAGGCTAGCAGGAGGCAGTCTGTGAACACGCAGCTCCAGGGGCTGCCATGATGTCACCCATGATGTCCCCACAGATCCAAGCACACAAAGCCATCGCTTCTCCCACGGCGCTGCCCCAGGACCAGGTTCAACCCAGCAACCCACCTGCTGCCCCGCTCACACACACACGGAGCTGTGCCTCAGTAACACACCTTTATTGTTTCATTGCACGTCACGCAATGACCAGGCAAGGTCACAGCCCTTAGGGGTGAGCACAAGCTTGTGCACGCACAGATGGATCCCTCAGCAGTGGGAGAGCACCACAATTAAAGCTGGAGCCTAAAGGGGTCCAGCTCTGCTCACTCCCTTCCCAGATGGTGGGGGGCTCAGGCCCAGACCAAGCAGCATGCCAGCAGTACAAACCCTATATCCAGCCACAAATCCACCCTCTGCCCTTTACCTTTCCAAATCTGCAGTGCTGGACGTAGAGGATGCCATCCTTCACTGGTCTCTCCATGGGCCCAGCACTGCCCCAGCAGCCAACACAGGGCTCTGGGGCTTGGGCCGCTGGCAGCACAGAAATGTGACTGCTTCAGCCAAAGCAACTGCATAGGGCAGACTTCCTTCTCTCTGACACTTCCCCTTTTTGGTGTGTGGGATGACAGGCAAAGGCTGGGCCACAGGAGGTGTCCATCCGCCCACCCCTTGCAGCGGGGCAGAACGCATACTGTGAGAGCACAGGCAGCTCTCAGGGGACAACCTGACATAAGCACGGCGTGCTTGGCTTAGCCCTGGCTGCACCAGAGCACCGCTGGTGTTAACAGGAACAGCTAGGATGAACAGATCAAGGTGAGAGGAAGGAGACTGTGAGGCATTGGAGGGGCTGGATAGAAGTCCCTAGGCATGGGCAGCAGCCCACCAGCCACAAACCAGTCGCCCCACCTAGAGGTTACCCCACCACGCCCTGCCTGCTCAGCACCTCACAGCAGTGTGACACTGACGTATCGGGCTGCTGCAGCACAGCTCCACGCATTTCCATCTAGGGCAGGAGCTCAGGAAGGCTGAGCAGTTGACAGTCCCCAAAAAAACAGGTCACAGAAGTACAGGAGAGTCTTGTGGTACAAGGTCAGTCGGGGTTTTAGAATGTGAACCCCAGGTCAAAGAGAAGCAGCCAACCTCCTTTCCTGGCCTGTTCAGGGGAGCACTGAACAGCACAGTCCCCAGGCTAGAAGTCCATAGAGCTGTGAGCTAGGTAGTCCTTGCGGCCAATGTTGCTGACTTGCTTGGTCTGCATCGCCTCCAGCTTAGGACAGTCAGTGATGCGATGGCCCAGGCCACCACAGAAGGCACAGCCCCGCTCACCTGCAATGGGAAGAAGGAGATCAGGCTGAGCTGTGTGCCAGGCCAGGTGACAAAGCAGGCACCCAGCAGGCAGGGAGACAGGAGCCACCCCATGAGCCTGAAGCGACGGGAGCTGGGACCCTGTCTGCAGCCCGTGTCACTCTAAGAGTCCCACAGAAGTTCTCCATCCCAGCACAGGGTTCCTCACCTCCGATGTCCAGCATGGTCTCATCCCCACAGTGCAGCACCTGGAGCACAGGGGGCACCTTCTGCTTCGCCTCCAGGAGCAGAGCCTTCAAGTCCATGAGCACCGACTCATCTGGGGGCAGAGACACAGATCAGATACAGTCCTAGCAGAAGCCCAACACAAGAGTGCAAAGAATGATGTGCAGGGCCCTGAGGCCAGCACCCAAGTGGTGACAATGCCCCATGTCACCACCACCTCTCTGTGAACCGTAACCACTTTCCCCTGCTTGCAGGGGAACACCACCCACACCCAAGCAGCAGCAGCTCTTTGTCCAGCTGCATCACACAGTGCAGCTCACCCCGCAGGCTCCCCCCATCCCACACAGTTTCTCACCACAGGCTTTATTGATGAAGGTGGTGGCAATACCAGTGTTGCCTGAGCGACCTGTACGCCCAATACGGTGAACTGCAAAGAAACAGACAGGATGAGGCCAGGACAAATGCAACATGGCACCCCTGTCCCACTGACCACCACGATGGGTGCACAGCCCTCCTGGCCTGTGGCCACCCAGCTACTCTCCCTCAGTGCCTCTGCTGGCCCCGTTCCCCACCATAGTTCTCAATCTCCTCTGGCATGTCGTAGTTGATGACGTGCTGGATGGCAGGGAAGTCCAGGCCCTTAGAAGCGACATCAGTGGCAACCAGAACATCCTTCTTCCCATCTCGGAAGGCCTCAATGGCTTTTGTCCGCTCCTCCTGATCTGTAAACATCCAGCACAGAAGATGAGTAGGTCAGAGCTCCCAGTCCTACCTCTTCCAGCAACCACTACAGCCTTAAAGCTGAGCATTACAAAGTCTAAGTCTCTCCTGTGTGAAAACCTACACATCCTTTCCCCAGATTAAGCAGCAGAGGGACTCGCAGGTCCCGCAGGGAGCTAGCTGCATGGTGCTTACATCTGCTATGATAGTAAGTAAAGCTGCACTCCCTACCAGAGGTCCTGACACTGCCCCAGTCCATCCTCACGCAGTGACAAACAGCTACGTGCTGGGACCTCCCATGCTCACACGCCAGGAAGGAGTGGGATCAGACAGGACCACACCTCCACAGCACCCTCACAGACCTTTGCCTCCATGGATGGCCACAGCTTCCACACCCTTGAGTAGAAGATACTCGTGGATCGCATCAACATCTGCCTTCTTCTCCGCAAAGATCAGCACCTGCCACGACACACATATCATGTAAGAGAGGCTTTTTTGTGTGCTGACAAAGAGCACAATCCCCAG